ACTTGCGTATTGAACAGAATCAATAACTTAGATAGTTGTTACGCGGGTAAAACATGCCCTGCATTGACCTCCTTGGAGCAAAGAGGGATTTGTAAATGCAACAAGTAAATAAAGGACCAGTTGCTGCTTCCTCTTCTTTGGCGCAGTTTTCTCTGGTTTCTCTCTCCTAGGTGAGGTTTGTGAGCAGCACCTGGGTTTTCGGGAAGCTGATGTGCCACATCAGTCGCTTTGGCCAGTATTGCTCTGTCCATGTCTATGTGCTGACCCTGGCGGCCATCGCTTTGGACCGTCACCAGGTAAGGCCGGGGGTTCGCATGGTGGCTGGATTTTAGGTTTGAAAAAGGTCCCAGTTTGGCACCAGGAAAGTGCAAATCCTGCAGCTTCCAAATTGGCAGAAACAGAAAAGCCCTCTTTCACCAAGGTCCAGTTTGAGTGGACTTTACTGGAGAGGGAAGGATGTCCCTCAGGATGGAAGAGGCTGCCGTTAGGAAGGAAGGAAGGGGTTAAAAATTAGATATGCTTGCACCATGATTATCTTTTGTATCTTGAACATGGCAAATGGAAGCATAAATCAAGAGAGAGGAAGGCACAGATCTTAATTGGTTTGGGCTTCTATGCAATTTAAGGACAGATTTAATCACATCAAGAGAAGTGCAGCCGTCGAAGTTGGAGAAAATTAGTTTTCTTTAGAGATGAGTAAGAACAGAGCTCTCTAGCAGAGAATTCTAAGCCCCACACCAAACTACAAATCCTTGGCAGTTAAAGTGGCATGGAAATGATAGATAATTCAGATAGTTAGCAGACCTCTATCTTGTGGGTCACAACTCTCCCAACCCTGTGATTTCTTTAGGTTATAATGCATCCATTAAAGCCGCGAATGTCCATCGTGAAAGGAGTGATTTGCATCATTATCATCTGGGTGATGGCCAGCTGTTTCTCTTTGCCCCATGCGATCTATCAGAAGCTGACACGGTTTCCTTACGGGTAAGAGGAAGAAAGAGCCGGGTTTTTAAGAAAACGGGTGCTCCTTGTATTATTTGCTAATGCATGCAAATGCAAGCATTAATTGTGCAAATGTCACCAATCCATTTTATTTTATAGGATCTTAGAGTCGCAAGGGACTCCAGCGGTCATCTATTTTCTCCCGCTGTCGCTGAACCATTCATGTCACATCAGCTCTTTGTGTCCTAGAAAAATTCAGTAAATCTTTTACTGATTTTGGTCAATGGCCATTGCAGCTTTCCAAAAGATACACACATGAGAGAGAGAGAGAGATCCCAAGAAACTCTGTTTCAGTATCCTATAAACAAAGAGCAACCTAATGATCCAATATATCAATAAGTTGGGCAAATTAAAAGCATGGTTAGGCCAAATCTGTGGTTAAAACTATGAGATAGGTTTAGTATTATTTCGGAGAGGTGCGCCTCAAGTGGTGAAAGACCTTTGTTTGTCGTAGCCTGTGCTTTCCGTCACCTGCATCTAGCATACTTTGCAACAATTTGGAGCGTTCTGCAGCCTCACAAAACTACAAACCCCAGGATTCCCTGGGATGCAGCCATGGAGGTTAAAGTGGAGCCACAATGCTATAATTTTATAATGTAAAAGGGCCCTGAATTTCATTTCATTTCATTTCAACCTCCTTGCTCCCTTTCCACTGCCAAGGAATTGAATGCAAGAGCTTTTAGTGGTCTGCTGCATTATTGACTTTTACCATTATTTTTGTCTTTTAATTGATTCCTTTTAAATGGTTTCAATTCTATGAGCAGTTGAATTGCATTTTCACCAGAAATTTTATAGGATTTTACTTGTGTCCCTGCAACTGCTCTTAATGCTATTTCATTTGATTTTTTGTAAGTCACTGTCAATGAAGCAAGAACAACGGCAATAATAAGAAAAATATAGTGGCTGGCATCCTGTTTGTTAGTCCTAACTAGAGCGCACCTATTCAATCAATGGTGATGAATGGTGTCAACATGTCAGTAAATCCCACTGAATGAATGGGGTTACCAGGGCTAACAAGAAGATTTAGGGCAATGTGTGGGTTTCCATGGCCGAGTGAGGATTTGAACCCTGGTCATGAGAGACAGCATGGCATAGTGGTTTGAGCATTGGACTATAACTCTGGAGACCAGGGTTCGATTCCGAGCTTGGCCATGAAACCCATTGGGTGACTTTGGGCAAGCCACACACTCTCAGCCTCAGGGGACAGCAATGGCAAACCTCCTCTGAATTAGTTTTGCCAAGAAAACCCTGTGTTAGGTTGTCCTTAGGGTCACCGTAAGTCAGAAACGACTTGAAGGCACACAACAGCAACAACTCCAGAGTGATAATCCAATGCTCAAACCACTAAGCTATGCTGATGGGGAGTAAACCACCGTAATTATTTGTCTTCACATGTGTCCTTACATCTCTATTCAAGAGACACCAAAGTTGCCTTGTCCCCCAAATTGCTATGAGTTGGGAAAGGAAGGTTTAGCCCAGGGTTCCCAAGCTTTGGTCTTCCAGGTTTTTGGATTTCATTTCCCAGAATTCCTGACTATTGACCAAGCTGTCTGGGGCTTCTGGGAGCTAAAGCCCAAAACACTAGGAAGACCAAAGTTTGGGAACCACTGGTTCATCCCTTTGCTCTTTCCTTGATGGTGGACTTTGCTCTCCTTTTGCTCTCCAGAAACAGAACGAACCGCATCGTGTGCTTGCCCAGCTTCCCGCGTCCGACGGACCTCTACTGGAAGTACTTGGACTTGGCCACTTTCGTCCTCCTCTACATCCTGCCCTTGCTGGTCATCTCCGTCACGTACGCCATGGTGGCCAAGAAGCTCTGGATGCGCAACGCCATCGGGGACGTCACCATGGAGCAGTACTACGCCCACCAGCGGAAGAAGAAGATGACCCTCAAGATGCTGGTGGTGGTGGTGGCGGTCTTTGCCGTCTGCTGGTTCCCCCTGAACTGCTACTTGGTCCTCATCTCCAGCAACGCCATCCACAGCAACAACGCCTTGTACTTTGCTTTCCACTGGTTCGCCATGAGCAGCACCTGCTACAACCCCTTCATCTACTGCTGGCTCAATGAGAGCTTCCGCTCCGAGATCAAGTCCCTGCTGCGGGTCTGCTGGAGGAGGGACGTCTCCCGCCAGCGTGGCCTCCGGTCCATCGCGGCCCCCTTCCGCCACGCGTGGGACGAGAACTGCTCTTGCAAGCAGGAGGCCGAATCGGCGGAGATGAGGAATGTCTCCGAGAGAAACTCTGCCCGGGCGGACATCTCCATCGTGCAACCCATCATAGCAGGGAGCTGAGACTCCGGGTGGACCGCTGGCCATCTTCACGGCGCTCCAGGCCTCTTGTGGGGAGACTCAGGGGTTGTGACTTTTGGGGTGGACACAACTTTTGGACGTGGCAGAGGAGGACTGGTGAATCTGTTCTGGGCTTTAGCACAAACTTTAAGGAAGTTATCCAAGGTGTTGAACCTATTTTGGGAATAGGGAACTCTCTCTCTCTCTCTCTCTCTGTTGGGTGGGCAATGAGATGGCCATGGCTTGCGCTTTTTGTGGCTCTTTAAATGTGCACCAGTCCCCCAAAGCACCTGAGTTTCCCCCAGTTTTTATTTAAAATTGGAAGCCCTGTTGGCACAGTGGTTAAAATGCTAGCGCTGCAGCCAAGATGTTGTGAGTTCAATCCTGGAAGGGCTCCAAGGTTGACTCAGCCTTGCATCCTTTTGTTGGTGGGTAAAATGAGTCCCCAGCTTGTCGGTGGCAATTGGCTTACAAACTGCTGTAAACTGCTTAGAGAATGCTGAGTTCACTGTGAAGCGGCACAGAAATGTAAATGCTATTGCTATTGCTATTGCTATTAAAAATTGGTCCAGATTTTGGGAGGGGGGAATTTGCCCCTCAAATCACATGGAAAGCCCCTCCAAACATGTTGCAGCACGTGAAAACTTCCTTCCACCATTTTGAGAGGGACTGGAGAGGAAAAGGGAGGCATTGGAGTGGCTCTGTCTGCATGTGAAGGTGCAAATCGTGGGAGGGGGTCTGGCATGGTGGCAATTTGCCCCTGATTCCCACACAATTGCCTACCCCTAATATATTCGACAGCTTAAACTTATCTTTCTTTCCCCCCTGGAAAGTGTGATTTGTAAAGAGGCCTCTGTGTCTTTGGTAGCCACATAATGGAGCTGAGATGCAGATTTGTAGACAAGTACAGGACCTTCTGTTCTCCTTCTTCTTTTTGTGTGTTTTGTTTTGCTAAGCCTTGGGCTCTTTGCTCATGAAGTCAAAATCTTGGTTTGGAGAGCTTACACTGTGACTCATCCCCTTTGCTAACTGACGCCTTGTCTTAAACAAGATTAAAAGTGATTTCAGAGGCAGCAACGGTGGTTGTTTTAATTTCACCAACCCAGATTGCAGGGGTTGAAAGGGCAGTTGCTTGATGCTGTTACATCACTTAATTTTTTTAAATTATCACACATACACACATACAGAAAACCCAACTCTCAGCTTCTGTCAGTTCAGGAGGTCCAAGAGGTTCTAAATTAGGAGCTGGCAACATTTTGAATTTATGGTGTTTTGACCCTACATCAGGGTCTCCATATGCACAACCTTTGTACTGAATGGCAAGGTTGCACAGCTCAACACACACCTAAATGTGCAAGCAAAAGGACACCCAAATGCCTACGTAAAATCAAAGGCTGCATCTGCACTGCAGAATTAACCCAGCTTTACACAAGGCTAAACATCTCACAAAACTACAAGTCCCAGAATTCCATAGCATTGAGCCCTGGCAGTTAAAGCAGTTTTAAACTGGGTTAATTCTGTAGTGCAGATGCAGCCCTGCACATTTTCTATGCATGTGCAGCTCCACTTCCATCTGCAATTCAATGCAGACATTGTGCATGGGACAAAGAGTGGGGGAAAACATACATTTGGAGGAGCCACCAGCAAGCTTCTTTGTGTTTTTCATATGCGCAAATATAGAATAGGTGACACCTGGCTTGATAAGAGAACATGCAGAAAGGATCTAGGGGTCTTTGTAAACAACCGTTGTGTTGCAGCAGCCAAAACAAGCCAATGCAATTCTGGGCTGCATCAAGAGGAGAGTAGCATCCAGATCGAGGGAAGAAGTAGCACCACTCTTGGTCAAAACTTTCCTGGAGGAAAGTTTTTCTGTGTATGTGTCCACTTCTGGGTGCCATAGTTCAGGAAGGATGTTGACAAGGTGGAACACATCTAGAGGATGTTAAGGTTCTGGAAACCAAGCCCTATGATGAGGAATGGCTTAGGGAACTGGGGATGCTTAGCTTGGAGAAGAGATAACAGCCATACTGAAATACCTGCATAAGATGGAACAATCTTGTTTTCTGCTGCTCCAGAGACTCAAACACAAGCCAATGGATTCTAGTGACAAGAAAAGAGATTCCTCCTAAACTTTTGAAAGGATTTCTTGACTATGGACTTGATCACACGGGAGGCAAATGTCTTCCTCCTGTCATTAATTTGCCATTAAAACCCATCAATATCGAGCAATAATGGGATGATTTTCACGCAACTTTGCACAACATTGCCATTATTGCGCCATGATCCCGTGAATGAAGCAGCAAAATCACACTGCTTTTTATTCATAGGGGAATCCCATGAATAAAAAGCGGCATAATTTTGTCACTTTATTCATGGTATAATGGTGATTTTGCCACTTTATTCATGGGATAACAGCAACGTTGTGTGAAAATCATCCCATTATTGCATGATATAGATGGGATTTAATAGCCATTTAATGACGGGAGGAGGACGCTTGCCTCCCATATGATAAAGTCCTATAAGTACTGTTCAAGAGTAGAATGGACTGTCTTGGAGAGTATCTCCATCTTTGGAGGTCTTAAAACAGGTCTTAAAACAGGCCCTTGGGGTGCCATCCAACTTTATGGTTGTATATTTCTATGAGTCTATATAAATATATGTTCAAATATATTGGAATGAATAGCAGCCTTCAATCAAAACACAATTTGTTACCAATAATCGAACAGGAAATGTAAACTGGAAGGATACACTAGTTCCCTTTTCTCCCCTGATTATCTTCTTTCAAGAGAAAACAGAAAGTTTCCAAACAAAATAATTGTGTAAAACAAAGAAGCTCAACTCTTCTCTGTGAGATGGATTCTGAAACAGCATCTATTGCAGAGATATAACAATTAATTCCACTATTTATACACCGCTCCAATCTGGGTCATTGTGCTCCGGAAATGGACGGCAATCCATTACGAATAATGCAAAACAGAGAAACGTAATTTGTTGCGTTCCTCTCTTCCTTCTCTCCTTTTGACCAGATGCGCCACTTTAATCATATGCCCTGCATTCATTTGCAGACATCTGTTATTGTGGTCTGTACAAATTTGAACTAATGTGGAAAACAGATGCAAAACGATGCATCTATTTATCTCCTTATTAAAGCAATTCTCTGAGAGAGGGATTCTGAAATGGAAATCTCTGGTATGCCAATGTGGTTCACTGTTTGTATCTTGCTACACTCTGAGGCTCCTTCTTCTCATTTTTAGAAAACCAGTCTCCTATATTTGCTTTTATAGATAGCTCAGAGTTAAAGTTATATGCAAGAAATCAGTCAATCAATCAATCAATCAGCTGCAGAGGGAAAAGGAGATCAATGGGGGAATGAAGGTTAGGGAGGGTTAGGCCAGAAGAAGTCAGTTAAGTATACTTAAGTCACCCATTTCTTTGCCTTTTTCTGGTCTACCACAGTTCTTTTCAGTGTGCCAGACAACTAACTCTCTCTCTTTGTGTGTGTTGTGTGTGTGTGAAAGTCTATTTTGTGAAGGAGGCCATTGCATTTGCATCCTTTTCAGCAGAACAAGTCAACTGCATTGCATCCAAAAATCGTGCGTAAACTCAGTGACTCAGGAAGGGATCGCATGAAAAGAAAGACAGGCTCTGAGTAAAAAGTGTGCTTTCTCTGATGATCTTTTGCACCAACATTCCTAACATAGAAATTTCACACACACACACACACACACACACACACACACACAAAAGAGGCTGACACGTTTAATGAAAATCCGTACCCCCGAGATGTTTCTCGCAGAGAAAGAAAAAAAGCAGAACCTGTTTTTGCATGAGCAAAGCTGAGGATGAATTTTGAGTCATGCTGTG